AGATGTCACTTACAGATCAGTAATAATGACTGTACGCTGAAAATTTTAAATGAGAGAAAGCCAGGTAGAAGTGATAAAAAATTCTGACAAAAATGAACCAAAATATTTTTAAAACATACACTTTGTGTAGCTATAAGATACTGACTTTACAAAAAGTTACCAACAGTTTGTTGCCAAACTTACCTTGAGCCAAATTATTTTTTAGCTACTTAGATCTGGTTCCTTGATTTAAGAGAGGCCTGGGGCACCTGAGTGGCTGGGTCAGTTAAGCGTCCTGCTCTTGACTTCAGCTTAGGTCATGATCTCACAGTTAGTGACCCCACATTAGGCTATGCATTGACAGTGTGGAGCCTGCTTGAGATTCTGTCTCCCTCCCTCTCAGACCCTTCCCCACTTGCGCGCGCTCTCTCTCTCTCTCTCTCCTTCAAAATAGGTTTTAAAAAAATTGAAAAGAGGCCTTAAGGTTTACCCTTAAACCTCCCCTTAGACAAAGCATAACAAAGCCTCCTAACTTTTATGAGTCCGTGTTGTTAAGAGCAAGTGATTTCTTGAGTCTGCTGTGTACTTTGAGGTTGACTGTGATTTCAGCATCTACTGCAAAGAAAACTCCATCTTTCTTCTATCTTTTCTACTCCATGACTCAGAATGGGAACCATGTCCCTGCTAGACTTGAAAGTGAGAGCTATATGTCATTCTTCCATTTTTCTCTGCGCATGGACTCTGAAGAATCACATTTTGTTCTAACCTGCTGCTTCTATGTAACTCCATTTTTTTACCTTCAGAAGAGTAGTACCATACAGGTATGGCTAAGTGTTTGTTAAGGGAAAAGTTACTTCTGTGTGTGTATATAAAATTTAGCAAGTCAAGATGAAGACAAATTGATATTTTGTGCTTTAAAGCAAGCTTTTTAGTTTCTTACTAGTTAGTGAGTGAAAGTGGGCCTCAGTAATTCTTACACTGTATTCCTTCATCATTGTAGATTATGGATAATACCTAATTATTCCAGATCAGATTTAAGTTTTTAAATCATTTTGCATTTTTTAATTAAAATTTTTTAATGTTTATTTTTGAGAGAGAGAGACAGAGCACGGTGGGGGAGAGACAGAGAGGGAGACACAGAATCTAAAACAGGCTTCAGGCTCTGAGCTGTCACTATGGAGCCCGGCCCAGGATTGGAACTCAGGAACAGTGAAATCATAAGCTGAAGTTGGACACTTAACCAACTGAGCCACCCAGGCACCCCTAAAAAATTGTTTTTAATGTTTATTCATTTTTGAGAGAGATAGAGACCGAGAACAAGTCAGGGAGGGACTGAAAGAGAGGGAGACACAGAGTCTGAAGCAGACTCCAGGCTCCAAATTCTCAGCATAGAGCCCGATGCAGGACCAGAACCCACAAACCACCAGATCATGACCTGAGCTGAAGCCAGATGCTTATCCAACTGAGCCACCCAGGTGCCCCTTCATCATTTTGCATTTTTTTAATGTTTTATTTATTTCTGAGAGACAGAGAGACAGCGTGAGCAGGGGAGGGTCAAAGAGAGAGGGAGACACAGAATCTGAAACAGTCTCCAGGCTCTGAGCTGGCTGTCAGCACAGAGCCCAACGCAGGGCTCGAACCCACAAACCACGAGATCATCACCTAAACCGAAGTCAGACGCTTAACTGACTGAGCCACCCAGGCACCCCAATCATTTTGCCTTTTTAAGATTACAGGATTTTTCTTTTCTTTTTTTTTTTAATGTTTTATTTATTTCTGAGAGAGAGAGAGAGAGAGAGACAGCGTGAGCGGGGGAGGGTCAGAGAGAGAGGGAGACACAGAATCTGAAATAGGCTCCAGGCTCTGAGCTAGCTGTCAGCACAGAGCCCGACACGGGGCTTGAACCCACAAACCGTGAGATCATGACCTGAACCGAAGTCAGATGCTTAACCGACTGAGCCACCCAGGTACCCCAAGATTACAGGGTTTTTATTTAACCTTTGATTGTATATAATATCGTCTAATCTAAGAACCCATTCAGTTGAAAAACATCATGATTTTGTTAGGATGAACATAGAAAACACTACCAATTAAGTGATGATATGTCAATGTGTAAGATGCATTTTAGTTTCAGAGATGTTAATTTTTTAATGAGCTATTTTAGAATAAAATATGGTATATTCTCATTTATAATTGAAAATCTTTTAAATAATAAATGTAGTTATTTAGCGAACATACGTTAAATACCTACTTGGTACCATTGCTACTTGAAATTTTGGAATCTTTTTTAGTATTCAAACAACACTGAGAGAAGTTTTTTATTTTCTTTTAGAAAGATAAAGCATGAGTGGGTGAGAGGGGCAGAGAGAGAGAGAATCTTAAGCAGACTCCATTCACAGCATGTAGCCTGATAATGGGGCTTGATCCCACAATCCTGGGATCATGACCTGTGCAGAAATTAAGAGTCAGGCACTCAACCGACTGAGCCACTGAGGTGCCCCTAAAAGTTATTTTTCTCCAAAACACTTTCACAGTTTTTAATCACCCCAGCTCCTTATTTCAACAACTCTTCTATTACTCAGCATACTTCCCCTGGACCCAGGTCCTTTCTTCCTAAGGGAGTACTTGTGGTTAAATACTCATCTATATAGTATAGATGAGATCAAGTGATTTCTTTGGGAATCACTGAGCTGGTAAGTATGAGTTTTAAACTCAAAGTTCTGACCTGCGTCACTGGCTCGGAATAGTGTCAATGTTTAGGTAAAACTTACTACCGGTCAGCTAAGAAGAAGAGGAATTCGAAGGGAAGCTTATGAACATCTAGCCATCTTGAAATAAATATTTTCATGTCCTTTTAGATGGTGAAAAAAGAATACCAGATTCAGGACAGCTCCAGACAAGTGCCCCAGCCCAAACACATGGCTGCATGTGACTGTACAGAGGTCAAGAATAAGCTAATAGAGGTGAAACCTAGGTGTCCTAGTAAAAGTATTTATTAGCTGTAAGATTGTAGCTTATTTAGACAGGGTGAAAACACAGTTTGGAGGCTTGAATTTTGTTTTGTTTTTGAAGAGTAGAATTTTACAGAAATGTTTTAAGTCTCCAGCAAAATAGTTACCACTGCATCAATTTAGCTGGCCTAAGCTAATATGGATTGTGGTTTTTGTGGCACACCTCTAATGTACCTGAGAGCAGGATCAGACATACCTTCAGAATGGTACCTGCAAAGTTAAGAACAGCACAGTCTTGAAGTATCAAGGGTCACTATTTCAGATCGAAATTCAGTCTAGTAACTGGGCCACACAACAGGCAAAACCCACCCAAATCCAGAAGGTGGCTAACCAAAACATGTATGATCAGCTGTGGGATTAGCTGATTTTAGAGCCAGGACAACTGAAAAACATTCACTATGAATTCCTTATAAAGAGTTTTATAGTTTCTTTTCATTGGTTTCTATAAACTATTGACCCTTGAACAACATGGAAATTAGGAATGCAACCCCTTGCAGGCAAAAATACACCTGTAACTTTTGACTCCCCAGAAATTTAACTACTAATAGCCTACTGTTGACCAGAAACTGTACTGAAAACACAAACAGTGATTATGTTTTGTGTTTTGACACATATTTTGTGTCGTACCTATTATATACTGCATTCTTACAATAAAGTAAGCTAGCGAAAAGAGGATGTTACTAAGAAAATCATAAGGAAGATGGGGTGCCTGGGTGGCTCAGTCGGTTAAGCGTCCGATTTCGGCTCAGGTCATGATCTCACAGTTCATGGGTTCGAGCCCCATGTTGGGCTCTGTGCTGACTGCCAGCTCAGAGCCTGGAGCCTGTCTTCAGATTCTGTGTCTCCTTCTTTCTCTGACCTTCCCCTGCTCATGCTGTCTCTGTCTCTCTCTCAAAAATAAATGAAACATTTAAAAAAAATCATAAGAGAAAATATGTTTACAGTACTGTACTATACAAGTATATAATATAGTAGTTTAACAATTTTATACATTACTCCGTGCTCATCACAATAAGTGTACTCTTAATCCCCTTCACTTCTTTCACTCATCCCCTCACCTACTTCCCCCTGGTAACCACCATTTTGTTCTGTATATTTAAGAGTCTGTTTTGTGTGTGTGCCTCTTTTTTCCTTTATTTAGTTTCTTAAATTCCACATATGAATGATATCATATGATAAATGTCTTTCTCTGACAGTTCACTTACCATTTGTGCCCTCTAGATCCATGTTGTTGCAAATGGTAAGATTTCATTCTTTTTCTTAATTCTTTTTTATGGCTGAGTAATATTCACACACACACATTTGTAAATGAATATTCACAAACACTCCCCTCATCTTCTTTATCCATTCATCTAGTGACAGACATTTGGGTTGTGGAGAGTCCTTTTTAAAACAGCAGCTCTGCGTGTATTTGTGGCTTACAGGGGAGAAGCTGAGTGCTCCTGGACTAAAACAGAGGCTGGAGCAGCACCGCACGGGGACAGAGCAGCTCGCTCTGCTGAGCTGCTGTGTGAGTGAGCTGGGTGGGGAGGCAGAGCTGCAGGACAAAGATGTTACTGCTTCCATTTTTCTCAAGTATCTCATTCAGATATCGGAACCTAAATAGCCATCGACTGCTAGTTTCTGCAGTATGCTGAGTCTAAAATATTTTTAATACTTTGTGATCTTTTCCTGATTAACCTTTTCCCTTTCAAAATGTTCCTGCCTCAGGGCATCTGGGTGGCTCAGTTGGTTGAGCTTCCAGCTCTTGATTTTGGCTCAGATCATGATCCCAGGGTCATGGGATCAAGTCCCGTGTCGGGCTCTGTGCTGAGCATGGAGCCTGCTTAAGATTCTCTCTCTCACCACCATCCCCCTCCCGCCCCTCTCTCCTGCTTACGTTCACACTCTCTCTCTAAATTAAAAATATATATTTTTTCCAGTTTTATTGAGGTATAAGTGACATCTCAGGTCTATCTTAGTTTGGCTTCTGGAGGCTACAGGTTACCTCTAATCCTTGTTATTTTTCAGGACTTGTAGTAGAATGTCAACAAGAACGATCACAGATAAAAAATAAAGAAATCGCTTTGCGTGTGTTGAGAGCTAGACTCTACCAGCAGATTATTGAGAAAGACAAATGTCAGCAACAAAGTACTAGAAAACTACAGGTAAGATTTATTTGGTATAACAACACCTCTACACAAAAAGTCATCATTTTATGTAGAAAATACAGTGTTTGTTGTGGATCAGATGGGAGTATCTGACGGCATAGAGAAACTTGCCTGTTTGTAAATACACAATAATTTCATTGCATAACTGACAGATTATGGCTAAATTTGGATGTGTCGATTTACAAATGAATAGGTGACATATGGGTAAACTCCAAAGTATTTCCCAGTTTTTTCCCTCCAGTGTTTGTGTCGTGACTATCTTGAGAGGAGATTAGGTTAAAAGATAAAATAAGTCTCTGGAAGTTAGGAGATTTGCATATTTTTTTATTTAAAAACCTATGCTTTTTAAAAAACTCTGTGGGATCAAAAGTAGATGGCACTGCAAAAACCTGTAATGGTGATTGCTACTGGTGGGATGTGGGGTGGGGGTAGACAAGATTTATTGGCCACTGTATAAAACCTTTTGTACTTTCTGAATTTTGTACCATATAAATGTTTGATATTATTTATTCAGATATGTAGATAAACACTAAACAAATTATTGTGGGATTTTAAATCCTAAAAAAGGTAAAGTTTATCTTTGAGAGAGGTTGGAAGAGAAAGTGGAATAGCTGGTGCTTTATTATTTGTGTATAGGTATGCTCCCCTAAATATGGAAGGATAATGAATTAGATAAACTTTCAGGATAATGAATTAGATAAACTTTAAACACGAATTATTCTTTCTAGCTGGGTGTCCTGGTCTTGTCACACTTTTGCCCTTCTAGCTTTCCATACCCACATGCTAACTTCCAAATAATAAAAGTCATGGGATAAATGGAAGTGTAATCTTAGACTGTGGTTCAGGATGAGTATGTCCATTTGCAGATAGGAATGCTCATTAACAAACCATTGCTTCTTGGCAAGTAAATGATAATGTAAACACTATGAATTCAGTGACATTTGAATTAATAAAAGACATTGGGATTTACTTGCTATTTGGCATTTCAGTACCAAATGTTCACACAGTAATTTTTAAAATAAGTATTCAAGACTGGCCTGGTACAAATTGTGTGTGTGTGTGTCTTCAGAAATTTCTGGCTTCGGGAGCCAGAAAAGGCCTTCCAATTAACTTGTCCATCTGTGTGAATTTTTTTAGTAGATATTTCTAATGCTTAGAGAAGTTTTTGCTTCAGCTAATACATGTAGTAGCTTTTATATGGAAGGCATTATGTCAGGTTCTCAACCCTGGCTCCGTTTATCACCTAAAGAGCTTTATAAATCCCTTAGCTCCACCGCCCCCCACAAGATTCTGACATAATTGATTTGGGTGGGATCCTGGGCATTAATACGGTATTGGTAGCTTCCATACTTGGCTGGTTCCAGAATGGACAGCCTAGGGAATATTCTAAATCTACATAATCCGCGATTCAGTATATCTGAGGTTGGGTTTTAGCATCTTTAACTTTTAAAAATTCTCTTGGGGCGCCTGGGTGGCTTAGTCGGTTAAGCGTCCAACTTTCGCTTAGGTCATGATCTCGCGGTTTGTGGGTTCGAGCCCCACGTCGAGCTCTGTGCTGACTGCCAGCTGAGAGCCTGAAGCCTGTTTCAGAGTCTGTCACTCCCTCTCTCTCTGACTCTACCCTGCTCACACTGTCTCTCTCTCTCTCCTAGAAATAAATAAAACATTTAAAAATAAATAAATAAATAAAAATAAAAAACTAAAAATAAAAAAATAAAAATTCTCTTGATGGTCAGCCATATTTAATTTAGTTCCATATCATTTGCCTGAGGGGTTAAGAAAATAAGTTATAGGGGCGCCTGGGTGGCTCATTTGGTCCAACTTTGGCTCAGGTCATGATCTTACGGTTTGTAGGTTTGAGCCCCGCATCAGGCTCTGTGCTGACAGCTCAGAGCCTGGAACCTACTTCAGATTCTCTTTCTCCCTCTCTCTCTCTATCCCTCCCCTGCTTGTGCTCTGCCTCTCTCTCAAAAATAAATGAACATTAAAAAATTTTTTTGAAAAAAATAAGTTATAGAAATGTCTTTTTTTAGTCTTAAAAAGTGGAAGTAAGTGAGAGAGGGTATTGTGCTGAGGAGGTAGTGAAGGTGAGATTAAGAAGAATACAAATAACCATGGGGTGCCTGGGTGGCTCAGTTGGTTAAGCGTCCAGCTTTGGCTCAGGTCATGACCCCACAGTTCATGGGTTCGAGCCCTGCATCAGGCTCTGTGCTGACAGCTCTGAGCCTACTTCAAATTCTGTATCTCCTCTCTCTCTGCTCCTCCCCCATTTACACTCTCTCTCAAAAATAAATAAACATTAAAAAAAAAAAGAATACAAATAAGCATAGCATAAGGCAGACTGTAGTGTGCTGTGGAGAAGGTTCCAGGTGTAAGGAGTTTCAAAGGAGGAAGTTCACCTGTTTCAGTTGTTCCTAGCTGGGAAGTTGGGGATGGTTGAGCATTTGGTAAGGGCATCCCTTGAGATGATATTTTAGCTGAGCGACAGAAATGCACATAATTTTGATATGGTTTAATAAGTGGCATTGTAGTGGTTCACATAATTTTAAGAAATGATGTCTGTTGGGAAGGTTGGCCACATTATGAGGTACCTTGAATGCTGAGTTCAGTTGTGTCTGCTTAGGAGACAAGAAGAAACCAAAGAAGAAAATTTATCAGAAAACTGTTTTAAGCAGACTAAGCAGGGCAACACAATGTAAGCAGAGAAATCGAAGAAGAATCAGGAGATTTTTAAAAGAATGATGGTGAAAATAACAAGTCACTGAATGATAGAAATGGAAAGGGCAGGTTGTTAACAGGTGACCCTTGAAACCAATGGGAATGGGCAAGTGGAGAACACAATGAATTGGAGATGGCTTCTCCCGTCGAGCCTGTGTCAAAGCTCCCATGAAATGTTCGTTAAGTTCCGGGATGTCAGAGTTTCCCACTTGGAGCCAAGGGCACATGGTGGTGTCATTTATAGAAACCAGGAGGAAGAACTGATTGGGATGCAAAGATAATTTGGGTTTAAACATTTGAAGTTTAAAGTACCAAAGAGACATTCATTCTTCGTCCATAACTAAGCTTTACAAACCTGTAGTCTTAAACAGTACGTTTTTGCCCATTCTTGTTCCTTGTTGGTCACTTTGTATATCTAACTTTTTTAAAAAATTGAAACTGTTAATAATAGAAAAATCACTTACAAGTATGTTTCCATTATAATAAGGGTAATTATAAAGTTAAAATATGAATTGCCTTTTTATTATTGACACAGGTGGGAACAAGAGCCCAGTCAGAGCGAATTCGGACATATAATTTCACCCAGGATAGAGTCACTGACCACAGGATAGCGTATGAAGTTCGTGATATTAAGGTAACATTACTGAATATGCTTTATGTACTTTACTTTTCGAAGAAAAACTTTTCAAATTCTAGAGAGTTATGTCTAAAATATTACCAAGTAATTTAAAATCATTAAGCCAGTTTAAGATAGTATCTTAAAATTTGCAGACATTTGTATTAGTTTCATGGTAAGAAATGTAATCTTTATGCCAATTTCAAACAATTCTTTTGAACTCCAAATTCTTTGCTATGATACCATCACAGTGTACTTGTCTGTTCAATGTACATATATACACTGTATCAATTTCCTGTTGCGGTGTAAAAACTTACCACAGATTTGGTGATTTAAAATAATGTTTATTATCTTTATGGCTACTATAGGTTAAAAATCTGGGCACAACAGAAATGAGTTCACTGCTCTCAGGTCCAGTTGCTTGCTCTGTGGCCCTTCCTTCTGCCCGATCCCACCTTGAATCTTTTGCAGGAAGGGCTCAGGCTGCTTAGGTCAGGCCCATGCCAGTGAGATTTCTTTTGAATGACTCAAGGTCAGCTGATTAGTCACCTAATCACTGGAGTGATATTCCATCATATTCACAGCTTCTGTCTTGACATAAGGGAGGGAATTCTGCAAGCTGTGTACACCAGGGGGCATCTTAGAGCTCTACCTACCATGATGTTTTATTGTTCATTAGATTCAGGAGTTATAATTCTGCTGTTGGGGAAAGACCCTCTCATCATGATTTGAACATTATCCTAACTAAATCCCAATTGGCTGGACCACTGACATACATGATGTCACATGTATGTGACACATACATGTATCACATACATACATGACAATGATGAAGCACAGGAAAATTCCCTGTTTGCTTCCAATGAAGGGGAAAATGAAGCGGTTCTCCTAAAGGATTGAGTGTGTACGAAAGGCAAGTGATGGAAAATTCTCATCTTTTTCCTTGATGCCATGTGATACGTAAGGCTTCTTTCATTTGATTCTGTCCCATTCTGTACTCAAAATTAAAGTCTTCATTTTACAAGGGGAAATGTCTGTATTTTCAAATTATTTAGAAATGTCTGTGTATCTTATGCCACTTCCTCTGTCTTCTTAGCAATTTAAGACTGTCTTAAATAGGAACATAATAGTCTTGTCAAAAAGGAGAAAATATTTGCTAACTTCTCTTTCCTCAGGAGATGCACAGTAATAACCAAATATGTTTTGCCATATGTTCTAATTACACCATACTCTTTCAGTCGTTTTTCTGGTAGTGGTTATGTTTTTCCCTGAGTTGACTGCATTCTTAGGACAGATAATATATTTTAGAATAGCCCTAAGGTCCTCAGTTTGTATTCAGAATTGAAACAGGCAATTAAGTAGCTGTTATAGTTATAAAATATCTGGCTTTCACCTAAATACTAACATGTTTTTACTAACTAAACTAGCATGCCAGACTCTGAAATGTAAGGGAAATTATATTCGCATGCTTTCATAATGATGAACCCACCTATTGGAAAGAAAGAAAACATCTCATACTGGTGAAAAGAGGAAGTTTGGAAATGTCATGAAAAAAACATAGTAAAGCATTAAAATCTGTATGAAGGACAGTAAAGAGCCAAGTAGAAGTGAATAATGTAGGAACTGTAAGAGTTGCAGATGAGGCAGGAAAACTGATAAGGGCCTTAACCCAGGGCAGTAGCCCCAGGACAGAATGATGGACCGGAGAGGAAAGAAAGTGGGTGTCTGTGGGATTTAGCTAAGCTCAGCTCTGTTGCTTTATTTTAAAGCCTGACTTTTCCTCCATTTACATAGTTCTTTTTTTTTTTATAATTTTTTTTTTTAATGTTTTATTTATTTCTAGGAGAGATAGAGAGAGACAGCGTGAGCAGGGGAGGGTCAGAGAGAGAGGGAGTCACAGACTGAAACAGGCTCCAGGCTCTGAGCTGGCAGTCAGCACAGAGCCTGACGCGGGGCTCGAACCCACGAACCGCGAGATCATGACCTAAGCGAAAGTCGGACGCTCAACCGACTAAGCCACCCAGGCGCCCCTCCATTTACATAGTTCTTGATGAAACTGCTCTGCTCCTACAAGATTAAAGACAATAATTGGTTTGTTAGGGGAGGAAATCCGAACAAGCCCCCACCAATGGGTTCCTTCCTAGCATTTTTAAACTGGAGACAAAGAGGGTTATTCTCTTTCTTGGCTAAAGCTGAAATATGTAAAATTTACAAGAGGCTAGAAGCCACATTTCCAAATCTTGAGGAGAAGGCAATGTTCAGTAAGAGATGAAGCTGATGTATTGAAAGGAGCAAAAATAGAACTGGATGGAAAGAATCTTGATGATATTAATCCCCACATTCATTTATTCCTGGGCTTCATTCCCAGGGCCATGGCAGTAGCCTTTACATTCCTGTCCTTGGGTTCTGTGAGATCACCTCATATTCTTAGTGTGAGTTCTGGTGTAGGTGATTTTATTTTTATTTTCATTCATCTAGATAATAAGCACAGACTGCCCTATAACATATTGTTTTATGTTTTTATTGTTTCTCAAAGTCCTTGTGCAAAGTCCTGAGCATCAGCCTATCTCTTGCCCTGTATTCCCCTTAAACTGAAAATTTTCCCTTGCCCTGAATACCTTGTATTTTGTTTTCATGCCTTTCTTCATCCTCCTTTTGACTGAAATGCTCTGCTGTCTCTATTTAGAAAAATACTATTCTTTTTTTAAGATCTAATGCAAATTTTTTTCTTCCTGCCTAAACTCTTCCTGATACCACCTTCTTCTTAAAATTAACCTTGCAACCCTCACGTGCTTCCTTCATTTCTTGCGCTGATTATGGTGCCTCACCTCCCTCTGTTACTAGATTATAAACTTCTGAAGGTTAGGAACCACAAGGCCTTCATCCTTGCTCTTTGTATGTCTAGCACTCTGGTTAATCCAGTTGAACTCTACATGTAATGTGATTATCAGTTAAGAGGGATCATCCTTCTAACATAATTTCCAAATGATAATTTGAGTTCCGGGCATGCTAATTTTATAAGCAGTTTCCATTTTATGCTCACAATGGTTTAAATTTTAATTTCAAGAATCCATCATAGTGCTTTTGCTTTACTTTCAAAGTTTAATTTAAAGTTTAATATATTCTGTGTTTTGTGGAATGCAAAGATAGGAAGGCATCTTTTCCCCTACAGTTTAATTGGAGAGACAAATGTATATGCCTAACCTAAAATTCAACTTTAAGATGATTCAAGAAAGACCAAAATAAGATTAGTTCATGCTTACATCAAAACTTTAAATGTTCTGTGTTCCAGATGCTGACATTGAAATAGTTCCATTAAGCCAATGTCTAGATTTTGAACATTTCTAAAATATAAGACTCTGTTAATTCACTGTTTCCAACAGCTCTGTTATGCAGAACTTCTGTAACACAGGAAAGGTACTTAGTGATTTTTTTAGTGACTTGTAGAGATGAACTCTAGGGAAGACTACAGGGAGGTCTGACCGAACAGTTTTCACCCACTGGACATATTTTGAGGTAAAAATAAGAGCATTTATTTTTCTGAACTTTTTATTTAGAAATTTTCAAATACACTTCAAAGGCTGGTTTGAAGGGGGCACCTGGGGGCACCTGGGTGGCTCATTCGGTTGGCGTCTGACTTTGGCTCAGCTCATAATCTCACAGCTGTGGGCTCGAGCCCAGTGTCACGTCTCAGAGCCTGGAGCCTGCTTCTCTCTCTTACTCTGCCCCTCCCCAGGTTGCGCACACTCGCTCTTGCGCACTCTCTGTCTCTCTCTTTGTCTCGCTCTCTGAAAAATAAACATTAAAAAAAAAAGAATTAAAGGCTGGTTCAGTACATACCCTGTACCTAGATGCAGCAGTTGTTAACATTGCTGCATTTGCCTTCTCTTCCTCATCTACTTCCTGTATTGCTGGTGAACCATGTGAAAGCAAGTGGCAGACCTCAAGACGCTTGTCCCCTGAATATTTTGGCATAAATATTTTTTTGGTTACACAGTGCTTCTAGATTTTAAAACCACCAGAATTCCAATGTAAGAAAAAACAGGGGGCACCTGGGTGGCTCAGTCGGTTAAGCGTCCAACTTCGGTTCAGGTCATGATCTCATGGTTCGTGGGTTCGAGCCCCGCATCGGGCCTTGTGCTGACAGCTAGCTCAGACCCTGGAGCCTGTTTCAGATTCTGTGTCACCCTCTCTCTCTGCCCTCCCCTGCTCTCTCTCTCTCCCTCTGTCTCCCCCCCCCCCAGAAATAAATACAAAACATTAAAAAATTTAAAAAAAAAAAAAAAAAGTAAAAACAGAACTAGTAGAAACCACTCACGGATTAAATATACTCTATATTTGAGGGTTGGCATGAGAAGTGTGAGCTGAAATGGTCCTGGGAGGTCCAGAGGATTTGGCAAGGTAGAGAAGGGCAAGGGCTGTGCATGTTAATGTGGCAACAAAGTGCCGAGGGCATTGATGGAGGCCTTTCAGTCTTCCTTGCCCTTGGGAAATAATGTGTTATGAATGAAAAGGGTGGAATTTTCAGGACAAGAGTAAAAAGCCTTATTTTTTCTGGAGCACAAAAGGAGAAGGCAGACATCCTCCCAAAGATGGTTTGAGCCCTAGAACCCTGTTAGGAAGGTCAAGCAAAGAAATTTTAAAGAGAGAGGTGGTAAATTTCAAGTCTGTTCAGATCTCCTTTGTTTTGTTGTCTCCCAAGTTGTTGGAAAGATCCAACTTCTGGAAGGTTCATTTGTAAACAAAATGCTAATGGAAACGAAGAAAGAGTAGAATCCCATTTACCCTTTTGGATTCATTTTTTACATTAAAAGCCAGTGCAACGGGATCCTCCTCGCAAGTTAGCTGTTGTGTTCATTATGTTGTAGAACCACTTTAGTAATCCATTGTTGCTATTAAATATGGACTGTGAAGAAACAAATTAAATATACATCTAATTCTTTGCTTTGTTTCTCTGATTTCTACTAATTAGGTTTTTTAATAACTCTCTTTTCCCAGGAATTTTTATGTGGAGAGAAGTGTCTGGATCAGCTAATTCAAAGACTACTTTATTCAGCAGACGAAGAAGCCATTACTGAATTTTTGGATGGAAACCTTAAATCAGCAAAATAAATGCTGATTTTTATTTATTGTGCTATAAATGAAACAGACCTATCTCAAGAAGCAGCTGTTCATAAAATGCAGCCAAAATTACGCAGTACGTACAAATATATTTTTTAATGAATTAAGTCACATTTCTTGACCTAGGAATATGTAAAGTACAGTCCTGCTCTTCAAGTAGAGAACAAGAATGCAATGAACATTGCAAAAAACAAAAATAAAAAAATAGGTATGCAGTTTTGAAAAGAGAAATAAAGTATTGAGAATTGATTATGTGGTATAGATCACTTGTTCTCTTTACATGATTGTTTTTTTTTTTTTAGTTTGAGAGAGAGAGCACGCACAAGTCGGGGAGAGGGGCAGAGGGAAAGGGAGAAAGAATCTCAAACAGGCTCCATGCTCAGTGTGGATCCTGATGTGGGGATCGATCCCATGACCATGGGATCATAACCTGAACTGGAACCAAGACTTGGATGCCTAGCCACTGAGCCACCCAGGCCCTCTATACATGCCTTTTTTTTTTTTAAATCATCTATAAATTAAACAAATCGATTACTTCAAGATTTTACCACATGGTAAAATTTAGTGATATAAGATTTATAAACTTCTTTGTAAACCCCTTTCATTAATCATGTTAAAATTAGGCTTTAAACTGCTACTTTTATTTTTTTATTTTATTTTTTTAAACTAATTTTTTTTTTTAATGTTGGTTTATTTTTGAGAGAGAGAGAGAGAGAGAGAAAGACACAGAGTACGACCGAGACTAGGGCAGAGAGAAAAGGAGACAGAATCAGAAGTAGGTTCCAGGCTCTGAGCTGTCAGCACAGAGCCTAACACGGGGCTCAAACCCACAAACCGTGAGATCATACCCAAAGCCAAAGTTGGACACTTAACTGACTGAGCCAAACTGCTACTTTTATATAAAAAATAAATATTGTGAAGAATATAAGTCAAAAACAATGATCGTAGAGCTCTTTGAGAGCAGAACAAATTCTCTATTGTATAAACTACGCACCAATATTTAAAGTGAACTCTATGCTTGGCTTTTATTTCTTAGGTTGTTTAATTAGGCTTAACTTTGGCTTAATTTATGAGCATCAACAGATGTGGTGTAATGTGAGTAAATCTCTATGCCTGGTTTTATGCGGTAATACATGTAAAACCTAGTCCTTACTTTACAGAGCTTCCGGTTGAATGACAGAGCCAAAATATAAACCACCAACTCTAATACAGAGTGGCATGATATATTTAGTAGTTGTGCTCAGGAAGTTTCTTGAGTTCAAAAGAGAGGTGTTATTATTTTAGACATTCCCCAGAGGGGAAGCCTAGCTAAAATAGAGTTTTAAGACCAATGCAATTAGGAGGTGAAATTTTTTTCAGTGAAATTGTTTTCCCAGTTTTTTATTGTGAAATTTTTCAAGCATATGGAGAAGTTTTTAAAATACTTTTTAAAAAATAGTGCAACAAATAGTATATATTCTAGTGTTCTACTATTACCCTTTTGCCACGGTTGTTTTTTCTCTCCCTGTACACATATACATACCTGTTGTGGTTATTGGACCATTTAAAAGTCAGTTGCAGACCCTGTAACACCACGCCAAACTATCTCGGCTTGTCCTAAGTATAAGGATATTCTCCTATAATCTTAACTCTCTTATTACACTTGATTATGTAATAATAATTGATAATGATTATATAATATTTAATATCTATCACACGTTAAAATTTCTTCAGTTATCCCCAAAATGTCTTTTTAGCTGTTAGTTTTGCGCAGTCCAGGATCCAATCAAGATTCATACATTATATTTGGTTATGTCTCTTTAGTGTTTGGATTAATTCCCCAACCTTTTTTCCCTTATGATGTTGACCTTTGAAAGAACCCCACAAGGTTGTTTTGTAGAATGACCTACGTCCAGGTTTGTCTAGTTGCTTCATCAAGCTATTGGTAACCTTTATCCATCCCTTCAATGTACTGTGAAGTAATACTAAGTCTAAAAATTTATTACATTTAGTTAACACATTTGACAAGGCTTCTTCGTGGGTAATGTGAAATTCACAGTGTATCATAACAGGAAGGCCTATGGAGTTCTACTTTGGCATTATATAAACATTTTGTTCCTTGGGGAGCCTGGGTGGCTCAGTTGGTTAAGCATCTGACTTTGGCTCAAGTCATGATCTCATGGTTCGTGGGTTCGAGCCCCGCATTAGGCTCTGTGCTGATAACTTGTAGCCCGGAGCTTGCTTCAGATTCTGTGTCTCCCTCTTTCTCTGCCCCTCCCCTGCTCGCACTCTGCCTCTCAACAATAAATAAAGATTTTTAAAAAATTTTTAAATAGAAAAAAAAACATTTCATTCCTCATTTAGTGTTAGGCAGCTTCTGAGATGACCCCAGTGATCTCATTCTTGGCATTCATGCACTTGTGTAATCTGTTCCCCTTCAACACGAACTGGATTTATTGACTATCTTCTAACAAATAGAATGTATAGAAGTGGTAGATTGTCATTTCCAATATTAGGTTATAAAGAGACTTGCCTCTGGCTCAGGCTCTCTGGCTCTGCCTCTCTGGCCACTCACGCTGCTGCTGGATGGATTGGGTCTCTCCCAAGGCCCTGAGACCTCTGCACAGCCTGTCTCCAGAATGTCACCATAGACCCTTGGTCTCATCACAAGAAGGAATCCAAGACCAGACACAACAGTTGAGCAGTGCAAGTAGGAAAGTTTATGAAAGTCAGAGTACACACTCAGGTGAGCACAAACGAAAGCTGGCAGAATATTTATTACTTGGGGAGGAGATTTGTGGGGGAGCAGGTTTCTGTGCCTTTTCTCCCTTACCTGGTCAAGGTTTCTGGCCTTTCTCGTCTTGGGCCTGTCTGGTTTGATCCAGCTTTTTGTGGCTTTGTTTCTGGAGTGCTGCCATGACAGGTCTCTAATCTCCCCCCTCCCCAAGCTGGCTGTGACTCCCCCTTTGCCAGCCTTTAGGCATTCTGTTAAAACCTAACTAACTAACTTCCTACTCCAACAACATGGCGGGGGGCGAGGGGGGGGGCGGGGAGGAAGCAAGGTGATGTGAACAGCTGTATAGAATGGTCTGTGCTGTGTGACAGAACTGAGGCCCTTGTTCCAACAGCTCTCAAGGAGTTAACGTCTGCCCCCTAGCACATGTGTGAGCTGGAAGCAGATCATTCAGCCCCAGAGGTGTCTTGAAATGACTATGGTCCTGCTTGAGAATATCTGACTCTTAGAAATTGAGTAAATTAATTTTGTTTTTAGCTGCAAATTTGGGGGTAATTTCTTACACCAGAATATGTACCTAATACACCCAATGACCTTTCCTCTCACTGATTTAACATCAATTAATGACTCTTGTTTAGCCTGGATCAGCTGTTCCATTGGGAGCTACAAAATGGTGATGTTCTTATTCTTTCTACATTAATAGCTGGTATTCTTTAAAGAAAGCTTTCCTTTGTTTTTCCTCTTACTTTCTCTGAGAGATCATTTAATCCTATTCGAATCAATATCATTATTATCTCCCTAGGAAAGGCATTGCCGTCTAAAATAATTGATGTCCCTGGAGAATCTGTTTAAATTTGAAATAATGTTCAATTAAATAGGGAGTTTCAGGGTAAAGGTTAGAAACACAGAAACTGATTTTTGTTGTCATGTATTTTACATAACAGAAACATTTATCCCAGAACATGTAAATATTAAAACGTTGTGTGAATCAAAGCAAAATGAAGATAGTCTAATATGCTATGCTATGTCAAGTATTAGATCACATCATTTTTATAATTATTTTTTCCCCAGATAAAAACCACTAACACATAAACCTCAAAAGATTATTTCTGTAAAAAAAATTCCTTAATTAAGAAAGTGAAAATTGTAAGAGGAAAAGCAAGAGAAAGGGGTATTGATTTCTTACTACTTACTCATTTGATGATCAGTGTTAACATTCTCTACATGCAAAGGAAGGGTGGGCTCTACGAGGGAATGAGGGCAAAAAGAAAAGTGCTTCTTCAACCAAAAGGAGGCTCTACCTTCCTGGAAGGAAGCCCAGACCTTAGCATCACCAAGGTCTTTGCCCTTCCCTCGTCCACTAGCTCTGGCTGTTCCTTAAAGCACACACTTTATTTGGAGTGAAAAAGTCAAAAATTGGAACTATGAATCTCTAAAAATCTTGGATGCTATTTTTTTCAAACCTCTGTATATGTACAGATCTCTTGGGGATCATGCCATAATAGATTTTAATTCAGAAGGTCTGGGGCCTGTCATTCTGCATTTCTACAATTCATTTCATTTCCATGAGGTCCCAGGTCATGGCAGATACTAGTGACTCACAAACAGCACTTGGAATAGCAAAAATCTAGGATATCTATTATTCAGTGAGTACTTTCAATTGTTATACATTTTATTTTTGGACAGTGAGTCAGTTAAACCTGTAATCCTGCTTCATTCAGATAGACCAATTAGTCTCCCAAACTGTGAAGATAAATTTGGCATCTTTTAACTGTTAGTTAAATGTTAGGAATATGTTCTAGAAGAAAAATGTTAAGAATCAACTAATAAGCCAATAATAAATCAGGGTTCTTTGTTAAAAAAATATCTGGAAAGCCAAAGTTTATTGCCTCATATGTACAACACCTTTAGAAAACCAAGGAATAACAACTTTATTTAAAAAATAAACTTAGAGGGGCACCTGGGTGGCTTATTCGGTTGAGCATCTGACTTTGGCTCAGGTCATGATCTCTTGGTTTGTGGGTTCAAGCCCTATGTCAGGCTCTGTGCTGACAGCTCAGAGCCTGGAGCCTGCTTCATGTTCTGTTACCCTTTCTCTCTGCCCCTTCCCACTCATACTGTCTGTCTCTCTCTCAAAAATAAACACTTAAAAATTTTAAATAAATAAACTTAGAAAGGGATGGCTGCGTGGCTCGGTGGATTAAGTGTCGGACTCTCTCTCTTTTTTTTTTTTTCCTAGGAGAGAGAGAGACAGCATGAGCAGGGGAGGGTCAGAGAGAGAGGGAGTCACAGACTGAAACAGGCTCCAGGTTCTGAGCTGGCAGTCAGCACAGAGCCCGATGCGGGGCTCGAACCNGTCAGCACAGAGCCCGATGCGGGGCTCGAACCCACGAACCGTGAGATCATGACCTAAGCGAAAGTCGGACGCTCAACCGACTAAGCCACCCAGGCACCCCAAGTGTCGGACTCTTGATTTCGGCTCAGGTCATGATCTCAGTTCATGAGATCAAGCCCTGTATTGTGCTCCATGCTTACAGCACAGAGCCTACTTGGGGTTTTCTTTCACTGTCTCTCTGCCCCTCCCCCACTCACACACACACACTGTCTCTCAAAATAAATAAACTTAAAAAATTAGGGGTGCCTGGGTGGCTCAGTCAGTTAATCATCCAACTTTGGCTCAGTCATGATCTGACTGTTCATGGGTTCAAACCCCACATCCAGCTCTGCTCACAGTTCAGAGCCTGGAGCCTGCTTTAGACTCTGTCTCTCCCTCTCTTTCTCTGTCCCTCCCCTGCTTTTGTGCTCTCTCTCTCTCAAAACTAAACAAATCAACATCTTAAAAAAATAACAGATAAACTTAGAGATATTTTTCCTCTTTTTTAAAAGTGTATTTCTTTATTTTGTTTGTTTTCACGTGGGGCTCCATCCCATGAACTGGGAGATTATGACTTGAGCTGAAATGGAGATTCAGATGCTTAACCAACTGAGCTACCCAGGCGCCTCAACTTAGAGATATTTTAAATTGACTTTTAATTTGAGTCAAGGGATCTAAAATCAACAAACTGCTACAGACAGTCAAAAATTAAAAGAAACTGTCTTTAAAAGCATATTCTTGTGTTGGTGGGCAATAATGATTAGAAGGATGTGGAGGCCGGTGCTTCTGGGTGGCCCGTGATGTTTTATTTCCTAAGCTGAATAGGGTTACACAGGTGTATTCATTTTGTGATACTTCATCGTATTTACAACTTTGATTTGTTCCCTTTTCTCTATGTGTACTATACTTCAAATTTTTCAATAATGTAAAATTTTTTAAGTTTATAACATTCGAAACAAGTTTTGAATTATTACTACTATTAATATTGCTAAATTATGTGGAGGCATAATGTGGAGGCAGCTCACTCACGAGGCCCTCTCAAACTGAATGACATTGGACTCATTAAAAGCTCTTATGGTAGCCAGTGACTAATGGCAGTGCAAGTTACTTTGGATATAGAAAGAAAAGAGTGAACAGTTTTGTAGACCCTTTAAAAATGAGAGTAAAAAACAACACAGAGCGCCTGAGCTCCGGCACACAGGACCTGCATTAGAGGTGCTGGAGAGACAGGGGACTGTACTTTCATGGGTGGGAAAAGGCAGCAGTGGGACTGACTCATAAATGGCACTGAAGCCTAGATTCTAAGAGGTGAATGAGTGCTGTGCTTTAATGGGCTTCTTTATGAAACAAAGTGTGTAAAGGTTGCCGTAAAGAACAAATGAGTGAAATACTTTATATGTTATAGTGGTTGGAATGAAAACTGGGAGGAAGGGGTTCCAGAAAGCAGAGTACTCAAACACATGGAAACCAGTCTGCAGAAAAAGAATTTCAAGAAGTCTGTTAGACATACAAACACATTCTCTCTCTCTCTCTCTCTCTCTCTCTCTCTCTCTCTCTTCTCTCTCCTCTCTCTCTCTCTCTCTGTCTCTCTGTCCTTCCCTCCCTCCCTCTAAGTCAGTCAGGAGCAACATTCAGAGGGAAAGATGAGAGAGGATGCTCCAGGGAAAAGGATGTCTGATCTGTAAGAAAGGAATGTTGAAGTCACCCAGAATTGGAAATGGTGACAGTACCAGTGAGATGCTTCAGCCTTCTCAGAAGAAAAGGGCCAGAGTAGATCCGCTGTTGGAAACATTCATGAGCAGAGTTGAAGTTAAACATTTCTGAAGAACTAGGGGCACCTGGGTGGCTCAGTCAGCTAAGTGTCCAACTTTGGCGCAGGTCATGATCTCACACTTCATGAATTCGAGCCCCTCGTTGGTCTCTGTGCTGACAGCTCAGAACCTGGAGCCTCCTTTGGATTCTGTGTCTCCCTCTCTGCCCCTCCTCGACTCATGCTCTGTCTCTCAAAAATAAATAAACGTTGAAAAAAATTTTTAATATTTCTGAAGAACTAAAACCATGGATTATTGATGACTGAAGCATAATTAACAGGCAAAAACAGTTCTTTTAGCTTCCTGTCAAGAAGAGTATGGATTCCATTGTAAAGGATTATGTGAATTATAAGAAATCTTGAGGAAACACAGAAAATAAAGGACTTTATTTTATTGCTGTTAATGAAGTTGCGGCAGGAATTTTAAAATATTGGAATGTAGGGCACCTGGTTGGCTCAGTTGATGGAGCACGTGACTCTTAGTCTCTGGATTGTAAAGTTGAGCCCCACGTTGGGTGTAGAGATTACTTAAAAGTGAAGTCTTTAAATAAGTAGATAGATCGATAGATAAAATGGGTATACCAATTTATATTCCTATGATTAGTACATAAAGGTTCCAAAGGCTCCCTATCATCACCAACTTTTAGCATTTTTGACCTTTTTAAGTTTAGCCATTCTCAAGGGTATGCAGTGTTTTCCCGTGAATTCAATTTGCATACATCTGAGGATGAATGACAATGAGCAGCTTTTTCATGTTTTTACGGACAATTTGGTTTATGAATTTTACATATATATGTATATATACTGCAGACTATCGCTTGCCTTTTTTTTCACTGCTTTTGATAGGCAAAATCTTGTAATTTTGTTGAAGTTCATTTTATCAATTTTTTAAATGATTAGTGTTTTTGTGTGTCCTAAAATCTTTGCCTACCTCAGAGTCAGAAATAGCCTTGTTTTTTTAGAAGCATTATAGTTTCATTTCTCTGTTTAATAATTAAGATCTATTTAGAATTAATTTGTGTGTTGTATAAGCTAAGGGTCAAGGTTCTAAAATTTTAAATTCATTTCCTCAGTTATACTAGCCACATTTGAAGTACCCAGGATACTGTGGCTTCTTCCCACCTTATCAGTTAGCACAGACATAAAATATGTGTAGCATCACGATGTACTGTGGCAGCATTGCTCTAGAATTTCAGGCACAGTGCCTACTAAATACTTTGGATTCTGTAAAAGGTCATTTAAACCAACTAACAAAGGGCAGATACAAGGAAGTTAAAAATCAATCACTGAACTGATATGCAGTACCTAACATAGTCCAATTCAAAGAGACAGAAAGTAGAATGGTGGTTACCAGGGGTTTGGGAGAAAGGAGAGTTACTGTGAATGGGGACAAAGCTTCGCTTCTGCAAGATGAAAAGATTTCTGGAGACAGATGGTAATGGTTGCAAAGGAACATAGTGTACTAACTGACAAAGAAATGTACTGTTAAAGGATTGTTTCAGATGGTAACTAATGCATATTTTACTAATATAAAAATACCATAAATTGGTATTTTTTCCCCAGCTGTGTTAGTGCAGGTGAGAAGCAATCAGTGTTACTAATGACCTAATTCTCTCAAATGTATCAGAGGGATACCCAACAAAGGTACACAGGAGACACTGGAGCCCAGAGCCCTGGAGTATTTCCAGTAGACACTCTTAGGAAAAGAGCAAAACAATTGTTATTCTCCTGCTATGTGTTATCTGCCTATCAGTGTAATACTAAAGATTTCATTAAGTTGTGGTAATGCGTGACAAGCTAGAGGCAAAAGCAACATACTTTTTAAGTAAAACTTCTCTAAAAACAAAACAGATCCCAATCTCTAAGCATTTGATTTTGACAATTTAGCTAACAGTTGGTCAGTACATATATGAAACACTTTTGTAAAGCATAGACTGAACTATATTAATTTAAAATATTAGGGCATGTATGAATAGAAAGTTCTGAGGATCTTGTGCTTTAGTACAAGGTCTGTCTCTTTAAATGTTTTATTTTAAAATTCTCGTGTAAACTCCTTAATAAAGACAATTCCATAATACTCAACTAACTTGTGGAAGGGAAATGAGAGGAGCAGTATTAGACGACTTGAAAACACTAATATTAAGAACTTTATGAAAATAATCTTGCTCCCAAGAAAGAAGTATTAATGAGATATATCAACCCACCTATTTATGTGCCTGATTTTTGAAGCCACCTATATGCTATTCTCTAGGACCTCATCTTTGAGACATCCTAATGAACCTACGGATATCGTTTAGTATTGAAAATATTGTAATAGCCTTTGGAACCTTTCAAAAGAAGCAACAATAAGAAATGGAAGTTTTTCAGAAATTGCTCGTTTTCACACGTGGGTACCTCATACTTATAATAAATTCCAAAAGAAAGGCTAACAATGATTGACTCTTTATATTACAGGCACGGTGTTCAGCATGTAGTTATTCTAATCAAAAAAATTTATTGACGCGTACTGTGTCCTATGCAATTCATCTCATTTCACTCTTACACGGTCCTATGAAAAGTCTTATCCCCACTTCATAAAGACGAAAAAGTTCTCGGAGGGAAGTCAACAACAAATACTAAAACGGAAATTTTTGCCCTGGAATTTCAAAGCCAATGCTCCAAACCAACAAACCTAGAAACATAAACGCTTTCAAACTCTGTTGGCTACAACAGTCCGCCCTAAGAAACCTCGCGATATCACTCAAACTACTACTCCCAACATGCACAGCGACTTTTGTCTGTCCGCCTATCCCATTGAGCCTGGAGGGCCCCAGCATGCCTCGAGGCACGAAAGGCAGCCTGGGAGTTGTAGTTCTCCTGGACGCGTACCGCTACTGCCAGCGCGGCGGTGGCGCTTTTCTTGGTTCTGTCCAGCCTCTCTTGTAAGGTAGCTAAGACGGAGAAAGGGCGCGGAACTGGAAAGGGTGAGTCAGGCACTGGCTACACGATAAAGGGAGGCAGCACCGCGGCGTAGGGCTGAGTTAAGTAAGTGCGGCCCCTGCTTAGTCAGGGACGCCGCGATCTAGCGCCAGCGAGAAGAGGGCGAGGAGGAGCCAGAGCCCAGTCCTTGCACCCATTCTCGCCTCGTAGCCCGCCGCCATCTCCACCATGCAGTCCCGGGAAGAAGCTCCGCGCTCTCGCCGCCTGGCCAGTCCCCGCGGCGGGAGGCGACCCAAGAGGATTTCCAAGCCTTCTCTTTCGGCTTTTTTCACGGGCCCGGAGGAGCTGAAGGACACGGCTCATTCTGCAGCCCTGCTGGCGCAGCTGAAGTCTTTCTACGACGCGCGGCTGTTATGTGATGTGACCATCGAGGTGGTGACGCCTGGCAGCGGGCCTGGCACCGGCCGCCTTTTTTCCTGCAACCGTAACGTGCTGGCTGCCGCGTGTCCCTACTTCAAGAGCATGTTCACAGGTGGCATGTACGAGAGCCACCAGGCGAATGTGACCATGCATGATGTGGATGCCGAGTCCTTTGAGGTGCTGGTCGACTACTGCTACACAGGTCGCGTGTCGCTAAGTGAGGCCAACGTGCAACGCCTTTACGCGGCCTCTGACATGCTGCAGCTCGAGTACGTGCGGGAAGCCTGTGCCTCCTTCCTAGCCCGCCGCCTTGACCTGGCCAACTGCACCGCCATCCTCAAGTTCGCTGATGCCTTCGACCATCACAAGCTGCGATCACAGGCCCAGTCCTTCATAGCCCACAACTTCAAGCAGCTTAGCTGGATGGGTTCAGTTAGGGAGGAGAGTCTGGCAGATCTGAGCTTGGCCCAGCTGCAAGCCGTCCTGTGTCTGGATAGTCTAGACATAGAGAGTGAGCGGACAGTGTGTCATGTGGCGGTGCAGTGGTTAGAGACAGCTCCCAAGGAGCGGGGTCCCAACGCCGCGGAAGTCTTCAAGTGTGTCCGCTGGACACACTTCAGAGATGAAGATCAGGATTACCTGGAAGGGCTGCTGACCAAGCCCATTGTGAAAAAGCACTGTCTGGACCTTATTGAAGGGGCCCTGCAGATGCGATACGGTGACAAGTTGTACAAGACTGTAGTACCAAAGCCAGAGAGCAGCAGCAGCTCTGTTGTATCTGTAGCAGAAAATCCACCTCAGAGACTGGGTATGTGTGCCAAGGAGATGGTGATCTTCTTTGGACATCCCAGAGATCCCTTTCTCTGCTATGACCCATACTCAGGGGACATTTACACAATGCCATCCCCTTTAACCAGCTTGGCTCACACTAAGACTATCACCTCCTCAGCTGTCTGTGTCTCTCCAGACCATGACATCTACCTGGCTGCCCAGCCCAGGAAAGACCTCTGGGTGTATAAACCAGCCCAGAATAGTTGGCAGCAGCTTGCCGACCGCCTGCTGTGTCGTGAGGGCATGGATGTAGCCTACCTCAATGGCTACATCTACATTTTGGGTGGGCGAGACCCGATTACTGGTGTCAAATTGAAGGAAGTGGAATGCTACAGTGTTCAGAGAAACCAGTGGGCACTGGTGGCTCCTGTACCCCATTCCTTCTACTCCTTTGAATTAATAGTGGTCCAGAACTATCTTTATGCTGTGAACAGTAAGCGTATGCTGTGCTATGACCCTAGCCACAATATGTGGCTGAACTGTGCTTCTCTTAAACGTAGTGACTTTCAGGAAGCCTGTGTCTTCAATGATGAGATCTATTGTATCTGTGACATCCCAGTCATGAAGGTCTATAACCCAGCCAGGGGAGAATGGAGGCGGATTAGTAATATTCCCTTGGACTCAGAGACCCACAACTACCAGATTGTCAATCATGGCCAAAAGTTGCTTCTCATCACTTCTACCACCCCTCAGTGGAAAAAAAACCGGGTGACTGTTTATGAATACGATACTAGAGAAGACCAGTGGATTAATATAGGTACCATGTTAGGTCTTTTGCAGTTTGACTCTGGTTTTATTTGCCTCTGTGCTCGTGTTTATCCTTCCTGCCTTGAACCTGGGCAGAGTTTCATCACTGAGGAAGATGATGCACGGAGTGAGTCTAGTACTGAATGGGACTTAGATGGATTCAGTGAGCTGGACTCGGAGTCAGGAAGTTCAAGTTCTTTTTCTGATGATGAAGTCTGGGTGCAGGTAGCACCTCAGCGAAATGCACAGGATCAGCAGGGTTCTTTGTAAATATTTTGAAGCACTAATATGTTTTTACTTCTATGGAATGTATCTTTAAAAGATACTCTTTCCTTTTCCAAAAAAAAAAAAAAATGTTGATTAGGACTGCAGATTTGGTTTAGACAGGGTTATGTTGGAATTATTAATGTAATGTTACAAAATTATAACAGTCCATGAAATCATCCTATATAAAAATTTACTAAAATTTGAGATTAAAATAGGCAAAAAAAACTATATAATTGATTAGGATGCTTGGTGGATTTTTCATTGTTCAAGTATTTGTTGCACCACTGGTTTGTTTTGGTTAGTTACTGTTTATATTTTAGTGATCTACCTTAGTCTTCTGTTAACTTCATAATTCTATTTAGTGCTGCAAGGAATTTAACTTTTTAATTTTCATAGTATAAAATTGGACTAGAGGTTGTTCGTAGGGAATTGAATTCTACTTCAGAATAATGAAAGTAGTAGATTTCCCCAGTTTTGAATTAGCCAGTTTTAAGTATTATAATTTAACAACCTTGTTAAATATGGTTTGGTTTTCTCCCCAATGCAAAGAAAAAAAATGGTTATATATATATATATGTTATAAAATAGGGATTTCATTTTGATAATGTGCAGAATGGTCTTAAGAGCTCACAAAAAGAAAAAAATCAGGATTCCACTGCTTTAAAAGAAATTTCATTTTTAATTTTGGGATATAAAACATATATTTTCTAGAAGTGACCATTTTTCTATCTTAAAAAATACCCATTCTCGTAGTGTCACCAATTAAACACCCTTCTAAACCAAAAAAAAAGAAAAGAAAAAAAGAAAAAGTAACTTGCTTTGTAAGATCATATTTTTAATCTATCCCTGGTACATGCTTCAGTGAATCAAAGAAACAGTCCTTTTGTTCACTGGACATATGTTTGAGTAATGTAAATGTTTATCCATTGGTCATGCCTAGTCTTAAAAAGTTCATATGCTTTCCTAAAATATTTTGGCTGTATGGTTTTGGTGTTCATCTTAGAGGATTCTTCAGCAGGAAGTGATTTACTCTTTACTGTTCTTGTGAGGTAATACTGGCTTTGAAAATACATTTAAGCTAAAAAGAGTATTTTATTGAGATCAGTAGTTACTGTGTCTGTCAACTATAAAATCAAGTGCCAGCAGAGAACTTTAAAGCTTTAAGCTGTGTATGGAGTTGTTTTGTGTAGCATTGAAATGTTCTGTTCAGTTTTGTAAGTCACTGTATATGATTATCAGCTCAAAGTATTTTTGTATTAAAAGTTGACAGTTAAAGACCATAAGTGGGTGATGGCATTTGGGGCCAATAGTGAAAGTATGTTTCCTCTAAAATATTTCCCTAGCAGTGGTATACTTGGTTATTTTATTAGGATATATTTCTGTGAACCATGCTCCAGTCTTTGTTTTTTGTCTTTCTGTTTGTTTTTGTATCACCATAAAATTAGGGAAAATCCAGAAATAGAGACTAAATCACACAATTGATATTGTTAAATACAGAGAAATATAGGTGCTTACCTTTTGAGTGTCTCTTAATACATATGATTGTCACAATACACATCCATGATAAATGGTGTACATAATATAGATGCTTATAGCCCATAAATTTTTCTGTACCGACTTAGGATCCTCTTTCCGCATCTTTGTTCAACACGTTAATTCCTCTTCTGTTTTTTCTCTAGTAACTGAATGCTAACATTTTATACACTGTGGCACAGTACGAAGAAGTATGCTCCAGGATAGGGAACTGAACTTTGAGTGAAAAAAGAGAGGGAGAGAGAAAAGGATTTTACAAAAACAAGCACACAGATGTTTTCTTAGCCGTTTTCATTGGACATTCCTGTTTAACATTTTTTCTAGTGAAAGAAGATTCTTGCTTTAGCAATATGTTACTAAGAATGTCTTCCTTCAAAACAGCAAACATGCTTTAGTGGCCTAAGGCTACTCTTTGTTCTAGTTGGTATCAGGGATGTTGTTATAAGCACTGGTCTCTGCTTAGAAAGCTGTTTCTTAATAGTGTTATTTTTTGGCCAACTTACCTTCACCAGTAACTTCTTTTGATAGCTTTTTGTTTTGTAAGGTTGAATTCGGACAGTGCAGATCTCAACCAGACTATCCATCTGCATATTTAAGGTATGCAATTAATTGATAAAAGACAAATGCTGCAATTTGTCATTTTCTTCCTTCGAGTTAAGTATAAGCCAATGAGCAGTAATATCGTGGTTTACAAAGAAAGTTTTTGGGGGAAGAATTTTGGTTTCATGATATATTTGTGAATTAGGGAATAGATATTAACCATTATTTTATAGATAAGTGATTTGTATATGGTTAGTTACAAATAAAAATGGCACTAGAACCCAGGCCTTCTGAACTCTTAATTTAGTGTTTCTGATAAATGTAGAAAACCCTTGCGTGTGCAGTGAGTGACACAGCTAGCAGTGTTGAAGTCCCATCTTGATGGAAAAGCAACTTTGTCTCAGTTTTACAATTAATTAACACACCTTTTATCAAATGCTCAATAAAGTATTGTTTGTAGGGGTTATTTGTAAGATTTAGAAAGATCTTAATTGTATTTTTTGTATCTTTATGTCTGAAAAACTCAGGGAATCCAAGTTAATTTACGTACTTCAAGTGATAAGTGTCATTGGCATTTTCACAAGGATAAAAGACTAATGTAGCAAATAATTCACCTACTTTGGGTTTAGGATTAAATTTATAGTTCCTTTCATTCTCATCTAGTTGTAATATTTTTTCTGTTTTGTACCTGGATCTGATAAATCTGATGAAAGCTTTTGACTCATTGCCAAAAAATGTACATGTTCATGTTTTCATAATTTCAAGGATATTATGACACTTCTGAAGTTCTTTCACACACCCAGGATAAGAACGCTTGTGACAGAGTCCCAAGAACACTGCTACAAGAGGAATCCACAATTTTTTCACAAGGCATATTGCTCAAATGTAAGGGGAGAAGAGCATTAGTAAGTCATTCCTAAAAGAGAGCTAAAGAAATGATATATTTTTACCATCTGAAAGGGATGTGAATATTAACGGGTACCTCACAACTGAGACAAATTTGACATTTCTGCAGTTCAAATTTCTTCATGACGATTAACACAAGAATAGTTAAGTAACTATGGGGCGCCTGGGTGGTTCAGTTAAGCATCCATCTCTTGATTTCGGCTCAAATCATGGACTCATGGTTCTGAGTGAGAGCGCTATTGGGCTCTGTGCTGACCGTGTGGAGCCTGCTTGGGATTCTCTCTCTCCCTCTCTCTCTCTGCCCCTCCCCTACTCCAGCTCTGTCTCAAAAATAAATAAACAAACATTAACAAAGAGAATAGTTAAGTAATTAAATGTAAGTGACTTAAAGAAATGAATCAAATGCACTAATGTATTTGAGAGCTTTGAAACATGGAAAGATTATACATATATGTTATGCATATGATTACTGTCTAGGACAACTGTGTATAATGAAAATTCAAAGCAAAATATAGGTTCCAGATGTTTCAAACTGCCAACCTCAAACTTTTTATTAGACATGTACCTAAGTAGCAAGAGTTTTTTATCTCCTAATGACCAGGTTAACAGTGGTTGGAAGAGGGCATCTACCCATAAGGAATCTATTTACAATATAATCAGTTTGCTATTAACTGCTCATTAAACTAGAAACCACTGCTTTGCCTGATGTCATTTTTATCAGTTTGTACTGAAATGAGGAAAATATATAAAACATGATGAGTGAATTGTAAAGTAAAATTATTTAATGGAATTTGTTTTCATGTTCATAAGTTGGAAATTTATAAAAAGTTTGCAGCTCTATATTAGTCCATTAAACTTTATTTTTTTTATTTTCTTAAGTTTATTTATTTATTTGAGAGAGAGGGAGAGAATCCCAAGCAGGCTCCATGCAGTCAGCACAGAGCACGATACGGGGCTCAAACTCAACGAACTGTGAGATGACCTGAGCCAAAATCAAGGGTCAGATTCTTGACCAACTGAGCCACCCAGAACTGAGCCCCCATCCACTAAACTTTAAAAGAAAGTTTGTCTTTGATATCCTAAGATGTGGTCACCAAAATGTAGTCATCTCTAGGTTGCCTACATTTGAACTTGGGATCATTTTATGTTGTGTGCTTCTTAGCTGTTTCACTTTGCCCCTGTTCTGTCATCAGCTCTCATCCATGTCTTCACCAACACCATTTCATCCTTACAACTAATTTAAAGAAATATTCATTATAGCAAATATGATAGAACAGGAAAGTATTAGGAAAAATTATTTCTAGAAAATGTAACTAGCAATCTTAAGAGAATTGGTACGCTACTTTTTTTTTCATTGTTTTAAATATAGTTCATTGTCAATTTGGTTTCCATATAACACCCAGTGCTCTCCCAAGAAGTGCCTTCCTCCATGCCCATCGTCCATTTTCCCCTCTCCCCCACCCTCCATCAACCCTTAGTTTGTTCTAAGTACTTAAGAGTCTCTTACGGTTTGCCTCCCTCCCTCTCTCCTTAACTATTCTTTTCCCCTCCTCCTCCCCCATGGTCCTCTGTTAAGTTTCTCTTGTTCCACATATGAATGAAAACATATGATATCTGTCTTTCTCTGCCTGACTTATTTCACTTAGCATAATATCCTCGAGTTCTATCCACATTGCTACAAATGGCAGGATTTCATTCTTTCTCATTGTCGTGTAGTATTCCATTGTGTATATAAACCACATCTTCTTGATCCATTTGTCAGTTGATGGACATTTCTGCCCTTTCCATGATTTGGCTATTGTTGAAAGTGCCACTATGAGCATTGGGGTCCATGTGCCCCTATGCATCAGCACTCCTGTATCCCTTGGGTAAATTCCTAGCAGTGCCATTGCTGGGTCATAGGGGAGTTCTACTGTTAATTTTGTGAGGAACCTCCACACTGTTTTCCAGAGGGGCTGTGCCACTATGAGCATTGGGGTCCATGTGCCCCTATGCATCAGCACTTCTGTATCCCTTGGGTAAATTCCTAGCAGTGCCATTGCTGGGTCATAGGGGAGTTCTACTGTTAATTTTGTGAGGAACCTCCACACTGGTTTCCAGAGGGGATGCACCAGTTTACATTACCACCAACAGTGTAAGAGGGTGCCCATTTCTCCACATCCTCACCAGTATCTATAGTTTCCTGATTTGTTCATTTTAGCCACTCTAACCGTGTGAGGTGGTAACTCAGTGTGGTTTTGATTTGTATTTCCCTGATGATGAATGAGTGACATTGAGCATCGTTTCATGTGTCTGTTGACCATCTGGATGTCCTCTTTGGAGAAGTGTCTGTTCGTGTCTTCTGTCCATTTCTTCACTGGATCATTTGTTTTTTGGTGTGGAGTTTGGTGAGGTTCTTATCGATTTTGGATACCAGCCCTTTATCTGATATGTCATTTGCAACTATCTTTTCCCATTCTGTTGGTTGCCTATTAGTTTTGTTGATTTTCTTTTGCAGTGCAGCAGCTTTTTATCTTGATGAGGTCCCAATAGTTCATTTTTACTTTTGATAAGCAAAACCATCAAGAACCATTTAGAACCATCAAATGATTAGATATATCCAAACCAGTTTTGATTTGGTTTGGTTTGGATTTTGTTTGTTTGTTGTTGTTTGAGGAAGGAGGAAAATGGTGTTCACAGAAGCTGCCAAGTCTTAGAATACCATGGAGGCAATAGGTTCTGTGCTCTTTCCTTCACTCTGAGCCATCCTGTCACTGTATCTACTCTATCAGCTCCAGTTCCTTGTTTCTTTAACCTTATGGACTAAACATGGCCTTAGACCCCAGGTGGGTAAGGAACAGGTATCGTGGCATATTATTTCCTACACGTTGAGACATATTTTCTCACTAACTATCCCTACTCTGTGGATAGTCACCTCTTCAATGGAATTAATCTTTTTATAGTTTCACCTCCAAAGCAATTTTAGCAGCTTGAAAAACCATCTTAGGAGTGTTGAGGGAGGGGAGAGAAAACTATTCCTTAATTATGGAGTAACTGGCAAATAGCAATGGCTCTCACTTCAAGGCACAGTCTGATCAGAGTCTCAATGTCCTTATGGCTTTCTTTGTATAGAGAAGATACCATGGGGTACTGTTTTCCTCTCAGTTTATACATTAGTTATGATCTAGGTGGTGTTGTATGTGGAGACCCTAGAGCTGTTTTAATAGGATAGAGGATTCTCCTGTAAAACTCCAGTCTGTTATGTTGGCCCTCATCTAGAAAGCCATGTGAGAACAGGCTATTTACTCATTCTGCTATTCCTAGGGTGTTGTCCTGGTCCACATGGTCCAAGCTGGTTCACACTCATGTCCATATTCCAACTATAAGGAAGAGGGGAAGGGGAGTACACGACCCTTCTCTATAAGAGAAGTTGTGTACAGCACTTCCAGTCACATGACACTGGCCAGGTCTTAACCATGTAGCCACACGTAACTGCAAGAGTGCCTGGGAGAGGGTCGCCTGGGTGGCTCAATCGGTTAAACATCTGACTTCAGCTCAGGGCATGACCTCACAGCTTGTGAGTTCGAGCCCTGCGATAGGCTCTGCTGACAGCTCAGAGCCAGGAGCCTGCTTCAGATTCTGTGTCTCCTCTCTGCCCCTCCCCTGCTCATGCTCTGTCTCTGTCTCTCTCTGTCTGTCTCTCTCTCTCTCAAAAATAAACAAAAATTTTTTTAAAAAAGTGGGAAAGATACTCTTTTATTCTGGGTCAACATGTATCACGTTAAAATTTACAGATTCCTTGTAGAATGCTGAAGAAAGATATTGTATAAATCGCATTCTCTACTGTATCATCTGTCAGGCTAGATTTTATGATATGGCACCCAAAATTATTAACAGGATGCCCAAGACCCACATCCTACCAACTTAGAAACCCCAGCGGAGAAAAGCAATATTTTCTGATATCTCTGGCAGATAATTCCTGCAGATATTCCTGTCTGGATAGCCAAGTTTGGTCATTTGTAATAGATGAAGTTGGTGGATGGGAATGTTGAGGAAGACAGATAAGGAAATACCTTCAATAAAGAGTTCTAGTTCCTACAGAGACCGTAAAGAGTGCCAACAATGGGAATGTTCCAGTTACAGCATTTTGTTTTGACTGGATCCTAGGATATGAGGGGAAGGTTGGAATAAAAACAACCTGGCAATGTTGGTTAGCATCAGATCTTGGAAGCTTTGTATGCCAAGGCAAGGAATTGACTGTTTTTGCATAGAGTGTGAATTTATTGAGAATTTTTAAGTAGGGACTTGGCACAATTGAATTTGTTTTCTTGAGACTCTTCTGAATGTATTGACAGTGCAAGACTGTGGGAGCAAGAACAGTTAAGGGAATGCTAGTGTAGTCCAGTGAGATGATGTGGTCTCTATTAGGGACAGCAGTGCTGGGCTTGACAAGGAAGACCCAGACATGAAAGGGTAAAGAGATTGAGGTGGACCTATAATTGTATGTTTGGGGATGAGGGAGCTTTAAGGTGTATGCAAAAGGAAGAACCATAGGCTATCTCCTAAGATTCTTGCTTGGATATTGTGTTAGGGCATAAGCCATACTTCTGAGCCATAGAGGCCTTAAGATCAAAGATGGAAACTTGTTTCTCTCCATTGAGTCTGAAAGTGAGTATTCATGGGCTGGCTAGGTGGTTCTGCCCAGTGAGGTTCTCCACGAGCCCAGTTTCCTTTATCATTTTTCCTCCAACTCCTAGTGAATCGTCCTCATCCTCATAGGCAAAGCACACTCACCAGAATTATATCTATATTGCAGCCTGCAGGAAAAGAGGAAAGAGGAAATGCAAAAAATTCCTTTTTTAATGGACTTTTACATAATCTTGCCATTTTTCACTGGGGAGAACTTAATCGAATCACCATATCCACCTGCAAGGTTGACTAGGAAATAGTCATTAAAGGGGTAGCTCTGTGCCCAGCTAAAAGTTGGTATCTATTATGAAATAGACTAATAAGCTAACATTTTAATATAAACATGTCCAGGCTTCCTGTATTTAAATGCAGGCAATTCACAACAGCATGCAGGCTTTATTGCTATGGTGGTCATTTCAAGTCTCCCTCCTTCCACAGTAAATTCACACCCAAAAGTTAAGTTCCGTGTAATCATCTAATGATTTTTCACAAACAAATGTGCCCCTGAGATGCTTTACACCCACACACACCCGCACGCACATGCACACACGCAGAATCACATTCATCTCACACACACACACACACACACATTACACAAACATATTCAGGTTTGCCTCAGCCCAAGTATTCGTAGAAATGGCATAAATTAAGCTTTCAGAGGTCAAAGCTCTCTCCCTGAATGCCTACATTTGTTTCCAGTTCCCTCTGGGTACCTACTGCTTAGTCTTCTCACTCATCCCACACGCCAACAGCTCTCCATATTACCAGAAGGAAAAAGAGGAGAATGAAGAAGAGTAATTAGCTGTCTCTGTCATGGTTGACTGAGTGGACAGTGCTGTCAGTGTATTTGAGGATCTAGGAGTCAGATCAGATTTGGAGAAGCTGGTAGATGCACGTAACGGCCCACGTCACACCAACTTCTGATTTCAGCTGCAGTTATGGCGGGCGCTCCCAGACCATGGTAACCGGCCACTTTGCTTTTCTGGCTAAGGGCTTTCTCTTAAAAGATCATTCTCTTCTACAGTGCTCTTGCAACAGCACAGGAGTTTGAGGGGAAGTGCATGCCCCCAGAGCAGTCCTTAAGCAAGAGATGATGGAAATTGGTAGATCTATGCTGCAGCACCCCAGTTTTAAGAAAGGGACAGCTGTACAGTGCATTGTACATGGATCTTTAGTGCATTGTACATGCTGGATTGAAACCCCATCTCCCACCACAGTAATCAATTCTGTAACACATCTTCCCTGTATTGCTTCAGGGTATGGCCCATCATGTCACATCACAGAAACTTGATTTGGCCACTGGTGATATTTTGCAAAGAAGTTTCAAATCTGAAGATTTGCTTGAGGGCAGAAGGGTAGAGAAAATTAATTAGAATGAGCAAGATGAAGCTTTAATTAGCTACAAACCAAATATGGGTTTACCCAGCCCTTAAAGGGCACAGGCAAGTCCAAGCCTCACAGCCCTTCTTATAACATGACAACAACAAAAAATTCATGTTTTTATAAAAACTACACTGCCAAAAATGGTCAGCCTGAATCTCATTAACCATTAGAACAAACTTCCAGTTGACAGGAAAGACCAGCCAGAAAGATGAATTAAAACCCCTATAAAGAAGCAATTAGCAAAATCCGGAATGTGGGACACCCAGCAGGACAACAGCACAGTGTCAACAGTAATCTTCTCTCACGTGGTAAGATCTGAGGAAGTGGAAAACCCAAGCATGGGCTATTCTTTACAAGGGAATGAATGGTACCTAGTGAAGGAGAGAATACCTCAGGTTGTGGTTTTGGTTGCTTTGAGTCTTAGGCACTTTCCTATGCATGGGCAGAAATCCATTGAGAGAATAATGAGGAGCCTGAGCCCAGGAGCTCAGGGGAAGGGAGAAGATAGACCAAAGCCCAAGGGTCAGGATCATACCGGAACAAGAGCCACAACCTTTCTTCTTCCAAACCTAGAGGAAGAAAAGGAGACTTATGGATGGGGACCTGGCTGGCTCAGTCGGAAGAGCATATGTCTCTTGATCTCAGGGTCATGAGTTCGAGCCCCATGTTGGATGTATTAAAAAATCTTTTAATAAAAATAAATTCAAAAAGAAATAGAGTTCATAGAGATAGAGATGTATTTCTTATTTTTTTCTTTGAATTAGGATGCAAATGTTTCCGCTGAAAGAAAGGAAACAGCTTGGAGGAGAGGGTACATCTACTGAGTGGTGAGTTTCATAAGGGCTGGGGAGATAAGGTCTACCTCTTTACAACCCTCAACAACACCATGCATAACACCAATCAAAGTGCCTTGAACAGAGCTTAAGACCAGAGATGTTACCATAAAATAAGACTGTGCATATCCTAGATCTTGACAATATAATATATATTACAAAAATTTCTATTTTAAAAATAATCTTTACGTTAAATTTCTTTATATCATTCTTTATATTGTTTTACAGAGAGAGAATGGAGGAGAGGGGCAGAGGAAGAGAGAGAGAATCTCAAGCAGACTCCATGTCCAGTGCAGAGCCCTATGTAGGGCTCCATCCCACAATCCTGGGATCATGACCTGAGCCGAATTCAAGAGTGGAACACTCAACTGACTGAGCTACCCAAGACACCCCTTTATATTGTTTTAATCACAAGGTGATTCTTGATTTTTCATCAGTTAGAATCATAGAATACTTTTCTTATTCAAACCTAAAGAACTTTAAATAATATAGCAAGGGTCACACTGCCAGTTTATTAATAACACTGAAATTAGAGCTGTTTCCTGTCTCTTAAATCAGGGCACTTTCTAGTGTACCTTCTTGCCTCTCGAGTATCATTTATGATGACATCTTCACCATTTTTCAATATGTATACCGCCTCAAGCATAGGACTGAGAAAGTAAAATCTCAGTTGTTTTGCTTGAGATATATTCTGTCCTCCAGTCTAGTTTTTATGTGCCATAGAGCACTAAATCTGGAATCTGCACCCCATAGTAAGAACTCTGAATAAAGAGATCTCCAGACTTAACACAAAGTCATCTCAGCATAATTGAGGAAAAAAATGAAAAATTGGCTTTAGTTCAAAATAAAACCCAATAAAACCTCCAGTGATCAAATTATAAGTTTTATATATCAAAAGATGTAGTATGATTTTTAGTGTTTTGACCATTTCAGTTCAAATACAGTTCAGTAACCTGAAATCAAAACATTGAGTTAGTTGAATACATTTTGAAGTTTTCTTATAGTTAAGTTCACAGTTATGATATTAAATATGTCAAAGGTAATAATAAAGTACACTTTCTCAAATACTACCTCGGTTCTATGTGCTTACTGAAAACCGTTTTAATATATACTTGAGGAGCAATGAAACAGCCTCTAAATTTGCATCTGTTTGCACAGTATTGAGGTTCAGATTTAAAGATATGACTATCTCATTTTATTTCAAAATATAATTTAAATTTATCAAAAGTTTGTACACATTTCTCATCATGAAATTTTGAATTACAGCTAGAATCAATATTAACTTAACTATATGATATAATGTTTGAGGTCTCTGAAATGTCAAGGACTGTTAATATAGTAAGTTTCTGATTTTCTAGGAACTCAGGTCCTTCTTTTTTTCCATGCTGGCTGTCTACCAGCTGTGTCTGTGAATGTTCAAGAAAAGATAAGGAATGGAGAGCTGGAATCAGTCAACTGAATTGCTTGTCAGGAGACTCAGAAGATTTGGAGAAAGGTGAGGCACAACCAAGTATTTAAAATAAGATCTCTAAACTAAGGGTCCTATTTATTTTCCTCTATGTGGTTACATCAAGTTTTCCCAGCACCATTTGTTAGAGACTATTCTTCCCTTGTTGGTTATTCTTGACTCCCTTGCCAAATATTGATTGACTTCATATGCAAGAGTTTTTTCTGGGCTCTCTATTATATTCCATTGATCCATGTGTCTATATTTACGCCAGTGGCACACTTATAATTATTATAGTTTTATAATACAGTCACACCTTGATTTATTGTGCTTTGTTTTATTGCACTTCATAGATATTGTGGGGTTTTGTTTTGTTTTGTTGTTTTTTTGGTCTTTTTACAAATTGAAAGTTTGTGGCATTCCTGCATTGAGCCCATCTATTGGCATCATTTTTCCAACAGCATTTGCTCACTTTGTGTTTGTGTGTCATGTTTTGGCAATTCTTGCAATATTTCTGAATTTTCATTATCGTACTTGTTATGGTGGTCTATAATCTTTGGTATCACTATAGTAATTGTTCTGGGGTACCACAAATCTCACCCATATAAGATGGCAAAGCTTAATCGATAAATGTTTTGTGTATTCTGACTGCTCCACTGACCTGCTGTTTCCCTGTCTCTCTTCCTCTCCTTCGTTTTCACTGTTCCCTGAGATACAACAATATTGAAATGAGGCCACTGCAGTGGCCTCTAAGCGGTCAAAGGAAAGGGAGAGCTGCACTTCTCTTACTTTAAATCAAAAGCTAAAAATGATTATGCTTAGTGAGGAAGGCATGTCAAGAGCCAACATAGGCCAAAAGCTAACTCTTGTACCAAACAGCTAAATTTTGAATGCAAAGGAAAAGTTTCTAAAGGAAATTAAAAGTGCTACTGCAGTGAACACATGAATGATAAGAAAATGAAAGAGCTTATTACTGTTTTAGTGGTCTGGAATGAAGATCAAACCAGGTACAACATTCCCTTAAGCCCAAGTCTAATCTAGAGCAAAGCCCCAACTCTCTTCAGTTCTAAGAAGGCTGAGAGAGGGGAGGAAGCTGCAGGAAAAAAATGTGAAGCAAGCAGAAATTGATTAATGAGGTTGAAGGAAGGAAGTTGTCTCAGGGCGCCTGGGTGGCTCAGTTGGTTAAGCCTTTGACTCTTGATTCCAGATCAGCTCATGATCTCACAGATCATGAGACAGCACAGAGCTTGGATTCTCTCTTTCTCAAAATAAATAAAAATGAACATTAAAAACAAAAAACAGAAGCAGTCTCCATAACATAAAAGTGCAAGGTGAAGCAGTAAGTACTGATATAGAAGCTGCAGCAAGTTATCCAGATCTAACTGAAATAATTAATGAAGGTGGCTACACTAAACAACAGATTTTCAGTGTAGATGAAATAGCCTTCTATGGGAAGAAGGTGCCATCTAGGACTTTCACAACTGCTGTGCTTTTATAATCACGCCTTTTCCTTCCTCACTTCCATACCCCTTGCCAACCCTAGACTGTAATCCATACTTGTAATTTTTTTATTAACAGAATGTTATATAAATGCCACCATATGGTATGTAACCTTTTGAGATTTTTTTTCACTCAGCATAATTCTCTTGCGATCTATCCAAGTTTTCTGTGTATCAGTAATTCACTTCTAGATGTAGACATTCTAAATGATGTAGTAACAATCCCTGCAAAATCTCCTCCTCCATAAAAGCAATGAAAACACTAACAAAAACTCTTAAAATAAATTTATTGGAATGATGGAAATTAACTAAAGGCCCACTACATTCTGAGAAGTGTTTATTCAAGAAAAACAGACAAATCTTAATAAAAACAGTAAGCCTTGTGGCATTTTAACACGCCTTAATCTCATCCCTCTCTCCTCAGCTTTATGGGAGCCTTAAAATTCAACAACTTCACAACTCTAGTACCTGTAAAAAATAGTAATTTAGCAGCCACTGGAGGAGACATAATGGATTTGGAGATCCCTAAAAGCCCTATCCCCAGAGATTTGCTTCTCTGATGGCTCACTTAAAAGCTCCATTACCAGGACTCATCTTTATTCGACCTATTTCAGAGTACACTGTGTGAAAAACAGCTTAGCATACAGGGTTTTTGAAAAAAAAAAAAATCAGTGACACAACAAAAGAAAAAAAATAGGTAAATTGGACTTAATCAAAATTGAACTTTTGTTCTTCATATGATACCATCAATAAAATGAAAAAACAATGTAAACAGAGAAATTATCAAGTTATATATCTGATAATAGATCTGTGTCTAGAATTGTAAAAAACTCATACAATTCAATAATAAAAAATATGAATGAAGGGTTTGTATGGACATTTCTCTAAGTGACCAACAAGCACAAGAAAAAATGTTCAACATCAATAGTCATTAAAGAAAATACAAATCAAAACTGTAATGAGCTACCCCTCATACCTACACAGATTGCTAGAATCAAAAACAAAATGAGGGATGGATGGCTGGCTCGGTCAGTGGATCATGTGACTCTTCATTGCAAGGTTGTGGGTTCAAGCCTCTCATGGGTGTGGAGACTACTTAAAAAGAAAATCTTTTTAAAAAAATGAAATGAAATAAACAATAACAACGTCAAAAAAACTGGAAAATAACAAATGCTGGGAAGGATATGGAAAAAATGAAATCCCCATAACCTGCTGGTGGGAATCTAAGTGGTGCAGTTACATTGGAAAACCATTTGCAGTTCTTCAAAAAGTTAAACAGAGTTACCATATGACCTGACAATATCACTTTTAGGTACATACCCAAGAGAATTGAAAACACGCATCTAGAAAAAACAAAGAGTAGGAAAAAACTAAATGCCCATCAAGTAATAAATGAATGGGGAAAATGCCAATATCAATGCAATGGAATATTATTTGGCCATGAGTGGGAATAGAGTTCTGATACATGTTATGGCATGGATGAACCTTGGAAACATGTTAAGCGAAAGAAGACAGACACAGAGGACACATATTGTATGATTCCATTTGAATGAAATATCCAGAACAGCCAAACCCATGGAGACAGCAGAAAGTAGATAAGTAGTTAACTAGGACTGTGGGGCCACACATATGGAGCATCAGGAGGAAATAGATATTCACTGCTAACAGGTATGGAGTTTCGGGAGGGCAATGAAAATATTTTGAAATTCATGGTGATTGCTATACAACATCTACACTGTTTAGATATCTAGTTTTTATTATCATGACTGTAGTAAAATTGAGTGAATTGTAAAGCATGAGAGGATGAACTCTGTGAAGACTTCCAAGGAAGATGGTGAAGTGGAAAATCCTGGACTCACCTCGTCCCATGAATACACCTAGGTAACACCACATCTGTGTAAATACCCAGAAAATGCCCCGAAGCCTGGCGGAATAGTCTCTCCACAGTTAAATGTAGACAAGAGACCACACTAAAGAGGTGGGTAGAGATGTGGCCAGGAGCCACAGTCCCTGTGGGAGAGATGCCATTGGGCAAAGAGGGGAGAGGAACAGACCCCCATCAGGTACCGCAGGCCTGGGGAACTCTCACTAGAAAGACAAATCCCCATACCTTTGGGGATTTTTGAAAACCAGAGATGTCTAACATCAGAAGTTCTTACAATGAGTGGTGCTTAACACCTAGAACTTTAAATATCACCGGACTCAGCTCTAGGAGAGCCAGAGGGTGATAGGAATCTGAGTCCCCACCTTTAAAGAGAAAGCAAACAAACAGCCCTGCTGACATACAACATAGAAGCAGCAGGCTGAGAACTGCCTGGGGTATATGAGGGAGATTTATTTCTCCATCTCAGAGCATGTGCTAGAGGGACAGGGATCTTTGGGTGACTTCTTCAAAAACATCTGACCACTGGGCAAGTGCCATTTCCCTCTCCGAACCCGTAACCTAGTTGCACAGACACCTGCAGGAACCAGCACAGTGCCAACACTCTCCACCTAGCCTGGTAACAGTGTGCCTCTCTACCGCTCACGTTCTGCAGACACATGCCCTCCATCCCATCCTTGGCAAGAGCTTTCCAGGTGGCTGCAAGGCCCCTCCCTCAAAGGACCAGCACCAGCCTTGCTAACTGTGTGCCTAGACCCTGTGTTCTTCTGCAGACCTCTTCCTTCCAACATGCCCTTGGCAGGAGTCGATCCAAAGCAGTGTCACAAGCTTGGCACTGTGCAAACAGTCCAGCACCACTCCAAAGTGACCTGCCCTAACGAAAGGGATAGATAACCACACGCATCAGTCTAACTAAGGCCCCACCAGTGGGCTAGGGGCAGACCTCTGGTCAAACTGCAGGCCACGCCCACCAACAAAAGCTGCTCAGGGGACAACACAGGGAGAGCACCCCGAAGCTCAGAGCTACTGCAGCTCTGGCAAATGTCTTATCTGACTCAACACAAGGCCGAGGCAGCCCCCTGACTGGCCCACTATCAACCCAGGGATGAAATCTTACCCACAAAAGGCAAAGAAAACCATTGCAGATGACTGAACTGAAGGCAAAGGTTGCTCACCCACAACAGTAGGGTGTATCATGTCATTTGATAGTGATTGCATTAAAGATGTAGATTGATTTTTGTAGTATGAACATTTTAACAATATTTGTTCTAACCCATTAGCATGTTTTCAGAGCACAGGCTTTCCACCACCGTGGTTAAGATTATTCTTATGTATTTTATTATTTTTGGTGCAATTGTAAATGGAATTTTTCTCTTGATTTCTCTTTCTGCTACTTATTAGTGTATACAGATGCAATGGATTCCTGTATATTGATTTTGTATCCTGAGACCGTACTGAATTCATTTATCACTTCTAGTAGTGTTTTGGTGGAGTCTTTAGGGCTTTCTCTATATAGTATCACATCATCTGCAAATAGTGACAGTGTTACTTCTTCCTTACCAATTTGGATATATTTTATTTCCTTTTGTTGTCTGCTTGCTGTGGCTAGGACTTCCAGTACAATGTTGAATAAAAGTGGTGAGGGTGAGCATCCTTGTGTTCCTAAT